AATGGGACTCTCCAGTCTGACCAGACACAGATCCAGTCTCCAGGCATCTGCTCCCCATCACTCAGGCTACTATAGCCCCTCCAGTTAATTTTCTTTGACACCCCATGCACAGCAAGCAAAAAACTAAACAAATGGAGAACTCCAACCCTGAAATACTCCCGAGTGCCGGGGCATTACCACACTACTCACTTGATATAAAACCTTTGAGTGGCTTGCAATAAGTTCCCACAAACCAGCACAGAGCAAAAACTCCTCCCCATGCCTGCTCACCTCCAAGATGTTTCCTTCCTGCACACAGGCACATGGGTGTCCTTGGGAATTAAACCGTGCTCCATTCTTCTTTGGAGAAACAAGACAACTATCTATTTATGAAAGCATAAAAATGCACTTCAAAGTTATATGAAAACACTTGGCTGTGCAGCCACTGCTGATTCTCTAATCCTACCAAGAAAGGTCCCCCATGCTAGCCCTGGCTGGGTCAGCCCTGCTCCGGCTGCTGCAGGCTGTACAGCTGCTCCGGGTCTCTTGTGTTGTACAGCCAAAAGGTCAAACGCTGCAGCAGGAAGCTCCACTGGGCAGTCACAGCCTTCCGCATCGTTCCACAGCCTGGCTCCAGATGATTTCCAATGAGATGGAGCCCACTCCATCAGAGGCCAGGCTTACATAGGCATCTGAACCATTCCTGATTAATCCTTGAGCCCCTAGGGGCTTTGGAGCCCTCAGGAACGTGTGTGTGTGTAAAGTTTCACTGCAAAATGAGATAAATACCATCTACTGATAGGTGAAAAACGAGTTAATTCAAGTAAGCACTTGGGATTTTACACTTTTTCAAAATACCCCTTTTTTGTTTACACAAATGGGTAATGTGTCCAATAGATGCACAATGAAAGGAAGAAGGATTTCCTAGGCTTAGAGATACTTTAATACAGACATGCAGCATACACTTTGAAACAAGAAAAGAAGGAAACTGACACTCGGCATGTGCTCGCAACTTCAAACAAGTGGGTGACTATATGAAACAAAAGCTGAATGTGTATTATTTTGACATCTGAACAGGAAAGAAAGCATCTTTTATGGGTACCAGCATCTTTATTTCATAGGAACAACTCTTGAGGTTTGGGATGTGTTTTCCAGGCTCACAGCAGGAAAGAGGATTTCCAGGATGCAGATAACCCTCTTTAACACCTCAAGAGTCACAGCGTGGTCCAGCCCTGGCCTAGGGAAGGTGGACAGTAGAGGAATATGGGCATTTTCTGATGGTACCAGAGGCAAGCTAAAAGAAAACAACTGCCACCTGGTATAATCTCTTTTGACTGGGGTCTTTGGTACTGCTTTAAGTGCCTGAGGAGGTAGGAATCCAGGCCACAGTTTTAGAGAACCTTTCCTGATGTCAGAGCTAAAACTTGCCTCTGTAGTGCCACTTTCTCTTTCCATCTCTGCACTGGCACTCTTAAAACATGGACTAACATGTGCAAAGAAATCCTGGTGAGCATGGTGAATGGAAGGGGAGGCATCACTGTGTGCCTTGGAACAGGGAAAGACAAAACAAAATGCAGTGCCATTGTTCAGAATTGTTTTGAGATGTCTTACCTGGTGCTGAGAAATAACATGGCTGAATGAGTCCTTCCCAGACACAGCAGCTGAGGTCCAGAAGGAGCCCAGATGAGCTCCTGGTAAAGAAACATTTAGCAGAAGGCAATCCACCAGGGCTAAGAAAAGGCTAAAGGCTCAACACAGTTAATGTGCAGCAGCACCTGCACGCAAAATGATGTCCTGAAGGATGTTACCCTGATCATCTCATACCCCTTCTGGAAGAGCTCACTTGACAGGAGGTACAGGCTCAGGGAACAGCCCATCAGCTCATGCTTGCCTGCCTCTCCAATGGGACTGCATCATAGAATAGTAGAGTCTGGGGGACTGGAGGAAGGCATAAGTAAAAGGAGGGGTAGGGAGACAAGAACAATTAGGTGTTATCAGATCTCCACATCAGGTCTTCATCCACCTAGATTTATTTTGGAGTTTCAAACAGCTAGCCATGGAGTCACAGTTGTTGTACATGGCTGTACAAAGCTCATGGAAACCTTGGAAGTCTGTCCACTCAGTATGTGTAGACCAAGGCAACAAAACATACCTGCTCTCACAACAAGTCTGAAGCCTCCAAGAAGGAAAGAGAAGAAACAAATGGAGGGCAGACAGCTGCAGCATGTTGACAGTATTTAGCTGTAGTGCTGCCTCACTTGTGGAACTACTTTTCAAGTTCAGATATTACCATTTTGGTTTATCTGTTGTAGGTTCACAGCAGAGTCAGTGAGGTTAATGACTCTATTGTGTCCTCTCTAGTACCCTTTAGACTGTCTGGGTAGTGTGCATCAGCAGTGTGTCAGCCCTGGGCTGGCTCATCACACCAAACCATTCAGCCATCAGAATTAACCACAACTTGCAAGCTTAACATAGACAAAATATCTAGACCCTGACTTTCAGGCTGAAAAACAAAGTTTTGAAGTGCCTACATTAGCCACCCAAGGCTTCCTTAGCACCCAGAGAGAGACAGGCACCCTGAAAAGAGTAATTCAGGTTGTAGGAGTGCTAAATTGCATTCTGGAGTTCCTTCTCTACAGGAATAAGAGAGCTTAAGACAATGAGACTCTTCATTTAGGTGCCTCATTAAGTGTCTCTGATGTGATGGGATGAATCTGGGTGAAACTGTTCATGCTACTGCAATAACAGAACCCTGAGAGGGTTGCTGATGAGTTTTCACTTGGAGAAAATATAGCTCATCATTTTCCCACAAGCCTTTGATCTCATCCCAGTGGCTCTGCTCAAGTCACTAATCCCCAAACAAGAAAGCATTCCCTTTCCAATTTAGAAAGGAAGTGGCTGTAGAGATGGGTGCACCAAAAGGGTTCGAGGAAATCAGAGCAGGATGGAGAATACAGTTTCAAAACCCTGTCTTCAGCAGGGGATGCTCTTCTTTCTCCTCTCACATGATTCAGAGTTGAATATCAGACTTTCTGCTATTGGTCTAAAGGCCAAATGTTTAACCAGGCATGCTGTCCTCTTGCCTGAGGACAGGTGCAATACAAAGTGCATTTTAAGAAATCATTGCTTTTATTAACTGCAGTTCTACAGGCCAGTAATGAAAACAAGAAAGGACTATTACCCTGTCGCTCCCAGCTATCAACATAACATTCATAACAACCAGCATCACTTTACTAAGCTATAAAGCAAAGAGTTTTAAGCCACCAGAAACACCCAGGGTAGCAATGTAATTGACCAAACCTCAACTTTCACACATCACATTCAGAACCTTCTGCCTACCTTAGGATTTCAAGGTAAGTGTTCTTGCCTGGGGAAGGAGATGACTCTGCATGGAAAATTAAAGTGCTGTCTCAGGTTCACACTGATATATATAGATCAGGGGAATCATTTATACATTTATACCTTTTTTTTTCTGGGATAAAGTTAAGTTATTCAGTGACTAAGCTGCTGTTGAGATCGAAGCTATAGCATCATGGAAATATAGGTTGACGTATAACTTGAGAGGTAATCTACTCCAATCTCCTGCTCAAAGCAGGCCTGTTGCCATCCCAAGAATCTTTCTAATGGAGAGCTACATTAGGTCTTCCCAATACAGCCAAATGTATGGCTTTCCTTATTTGCAGTAAGAATGCCCATCACCTATAATGGTGATGCAGTACCCATCCACCATAAGCACCAAGGGCTTTCTTAACAGGGTTACCACTAGCCAGTTACTTCCCAGCCTGTGCTGATACATGGGGCTATTCTGCCACAAACACAAAACTTTTCATTTCTCTTTGATAAGCCATTCAAGCTCTTCAGGCTGGCCTTGTCCTCATGTTTAGCAAAGGTCTTTTGGGTTGAAGCTCTGCTACTCATCTTGCCAGATGCTTATTCTAATTAAATATCTTCTATAAATTTGCTGAAGGTTCATTCTGTGCTATCAGTCAGGTTGTTGATGAAGATGTTAAACAACTCCTGCAGTACTTCTCTCATAAACCTCTCACCACCAAGCAGATGTGAGCCACCCTTTGAGCCCAGAGGTTTACCTGCACAGTTAACAGAATACATCATAATAAGACATTGCAGTTGTTTAGCCATTTTTGGTTTCCTCTGGTGGTGCAGAATTAGGCCTCCAATACCATATTAAATCACATTCTTAAAAAGATACACATAAGAATGTATGCATTTACTTGCAATGCATACAATAAAAAATGACCTCCAGTGTAAAAAGGAGCAAGAACTTATCCTCTCTTGCGGGGCACAGGGAGGGATAAGGCCATAATTATATAATCGTCCAGGCCTAGTGTGCGAAGACTTGATTGTAGACCAGCAGTAACCTCGGGGGAGTTTTATCCATACCTGAAAGTATCAGTATCCTGGCAGTGTCAATGTCCTTCTGTCTAGGTAGTTCAGTCTTTCATTTTGCTATGATCTGTAAAGATACAGATGCCTCTTTTTTTAGTGTGGGTGTGAGCATCTCAAAAAAAGGTCTGGCAGGAGTTATGCTACGCACTATCATCCTCCTGCTTCACAAATGCCTATGCTGTAGCCAGAAAAGTGACTTGAGTATAACAGAAATAAGGGCTCTGCCCCTGCCCCTTTCTACTCAAGTGACTGCTTTTTCATTAAGAATAAACTCCTCTTGTCCAGCTTGTATCCTGCTCCTCAGGTTGGGAAAATTAGAATCCCATTACCCCTGGAAGCAGGGTCTTTTGCAGCCTTAACAGCTTTTCAGATCCTCTTCCTGTCTGTTAAATCACTCCCAGTGCTTTCAACAGAGCTGTGTTTGTTGGCCTCCTTCCTTATCTTAACACACACACACAGAGTTTCTGTAACTCCTTTCAAATGGACTTCTGAGGTTTCCTTCAGTGATTTGGGTAACAAGCTATCCATTAACAAGTTATCCATTAACACTCTTCGCTGAGGTCTAAGTACCCAGTGGTTATACTTAGCGCCAGTTCTCCAGCCTCTCTCCTTAACCAGGATGTTTATTTTCCATAAGACTCTTACAAGTTTAATCTCCTCACTGGAATTTGGTTTGTCTAGTGAATGTAAATTCCCTCCCACTGGCACCTGCTAGCTGCTAACAAGGTAAGCAGCTCTTACAGGGTGTCTAGCTCTCAAGCAATGCAAAAAACTTATCTGTGTAAGATCCCTTTGGATTCTGTTCTATGCTGGCTCTCGGAACAGACTGATGTCGGTGCATTTTGCAGGGCCTTGAGGGTGCTCGGTGTGAAGTTGTCAGTACCAGTTAGCTGAGCCTGCTTGAGCCAGCTGGTCATGATTTCTGCAAAGTGGCTCTTTAGCAAGATCTACTGCTTTTAGCAGGATTTCTATAAGGACTTATCAATAATGGGGATTAGCCCTGATCTGAGCTGTCAGAGACTAGACACCAGTGCATCATACCCATGAAATTCCCAGTGCAGGAACCAGCTCCTTCTACACTTGCAGCCTGTCCCGGTTTGAAGCTGCAACCTGCTCCACGTGGATTTCTGGGGCTGTGCTCAGAGTAGCCATCATCCCCTGCTAGGCATATTATGCCCACTCCAGAGAGGATAATGCCACCTCCAGGACCTCAGCTCTTCAGCTTGCACAGGAACAGCAGATGCTTCTAGCTCAGTTTCCTAAGTAGATGCCAAAAGCTGGAAAGGGAGTCTCTGTTGCTGTACTTTGTATATGCTGTGCTGGCAAAAGCACTTTTTGTTAGCATGACTGCATCTCCACTATGGCTGCTGCTGGCACGGATCTGCTGTATTAAAACACACGCCTCTGCCCCAGCCAACATTCCTGCTGCAGCTAGCATGTCTAGTGTGAGCCTCACTGGAGCTCTCAGCCAGCTGTGATCGTACACAATCAGCAGTGTCTGCCTGCTCTTTGGTGAATGGTGTGTCCTGAAGCAAGATGTTCTAGCAATGTCTCATTGGTAATACTTACCCAAGCATGGAAATGCTCCTGAGATTTTTCATCTCACAGCCTAAATAAATTATGTCAGGATAATGGTAGATTTACATTCATTTCATTGCTACCTTTCCCATGATTTCTGCCTCACCAGGAACTTTTCTGCGCCTCAGAGAGAATGGAAAGTTTGGAGGATAATTGTTTTTAAAGCAAAACCACTCCAAAATACCCATCTTAAGCCAAAACAATAGAGGTTTGGCACCATTCATCACAGTCTAGCCAGCTTCCAGCTGCTTCTGAGCATGCTTACGAGAAAGAGTCATGCTGAGAGAGCTACTGTCATATGCAGCTGAGAAAAATGAAATACAGGGGTGAGCTCTGCTTCTCACCTCCCACTGGTTCCCCCGCATAAATTCTTCCAGAAAATTAATTAAAGTTTGATGTGTCTTCAATTCTATATTTGGCTGCAATCCTTTGTGCTTACATATTCTGTAAGTGCCACAGGGAAGAAAAGTGTGATAAATTGTTACATGTTATGTTGCAGGAAAGCTTTCTTCCCAAGGTGATAAAAATTACACTCACTTGAGCTTAATCAGCCTATCCATCTCCTAGGGCTTGCATAACAAGAAACCTTCCTAAGGTTAAGCAAATGTTGTAACAAGATGAAATATGTGGTGCAGTGATGGTTATGTCAGTGTGGAAAAGTCCAGTTACTTTAAGTTTGAGGACACCCCTCTAAGAGGTGTCCACCTCAGATGACAAGGACAAAGAGATACATAATCAAACAACAGCACCCTTCCAGCACAGCCAGGCAGGGATAGGGAATCCTGGGGACTGTGTGTGTTGAGAGGTCTTTATTTGCTCCATGCGTGCTAGCCAGGCCTGTAGGCCTTTTCCAAGTGGAAAGAGCAATTTTGGTGCAGAGAGCAGGGAGTGATGCTCTGAGGATTCAGCCTGTGCTGTGATTTACAACTGTTTCATGTCACTGCCAAAGGGCTACCACCACCTCACTGGTGCCACCAGACAAACTGTTGTACAAGTCCATAGGAAGACCTTGTGTTGAAGAGGAAGCACAGGTGCTGAATGGCAGCAATGGCCAGAGAAAATGAAAGGGAACCCATCCATTTAATGCTCAGGACAGAAGAGAGTAACCTACTTAAGATAATTGCCTTTACATCCCCAGGAGTCTCTCAGCTTTCCTTTTTTTCTTTTATAGCCCCTTAGGTCACCTAATTCTGGCCAGGATTTATCTGTCTTCCACAAAACTTGGACATGTGGCCCATCGTGCATGGAGCAGAGCTGCCAGAAGCATCTTTTGAATAGGCAAACAGACCTAAAGCCACAAAGAGCTGCTGCAGTGGTGACCAGCTTTCACCTAGCTGCCTCCCAGAGCAGGATTTACAGTCCTTGACTATGCCAACATTGAAGAGTAAGAGGCAGAAACCTGAGCTAGCCAAAAGGAAGAGCATAAAATAACCAAACCTCCCCACACCTCCCAGGCTTGGATGTCTTACCACAGGCTCCTGGAGCTGGACTGCCAGCCTGAGCCCCTCCACAGCCTGGAGTGTGCACAGGGGTGCTTGCCCCTCTCTCAGACACACAACTCACTGTGCCTCCTATTTCCAAACCATAACCAAGTAACTTGTGCACTCACCTCTGCTTTCCCATCCATTTCTTCTGCACCTACTGCTCATGTTTGGTACCTTGTTCTTCTCTCTTCAGCATTATCCACCAGCAGCCAGTGCCCCAAGGACTCCCTAATGCAGAGGTGCCTGTGGCTTGATCAGCTGCCACAAGGACCCTGGGCCACCCTCCCCTCCAGGAAAATTGGTTCTTACTCACCATTGTCATAACAGGTTTCATGATCTCTGTCATCGCATTGGGCATGAGGCAGAGCCCCAGCCACCTGGGCATCCCCAGCACCTGCCCCCAGCAGGTGGAGGAAAGGGACAGGAGACACAGAAGAAGGTACAGCGGTGGGAGATACCTGAGGGGAGGCAGAAGAAACACATGGGGGTAGCTGCTCTGTGCCAGATGAGGTAGCTCAGAGGGACTGTGGCCATGTGTGAGCCACACCAGGGCAGACACCCCTGCAGCTGGTGGACAGAGGGAGCAAGTAGAAAGGGAGGAGCAGCTGAAACACACCCTTATGCACAGACCATGATGAGCACTGCCCATCACCTCACCAGAGGAGCTGGGAGGGACTGAGAGAGAGGGCTAGTGGAAACAAGGAGGGGCTGAGGCTTGGGAGGTGTCTGGTTTAAGTTGAGGGAGGAGAGATGTTTTTCTAAGTGTTTAAGTGTCTTCTTTTCCTAAATATCCAAATCAGTAATTAAAGTTTTATGTTAATGTTGCAAAAAATTAAATAAAATTCCCCAAGTCAAGACTGTTTTGCCAGGGACACTCAATGAAAGCTGCTTCTTTTGTTAAACAGTAGTTTACAACTAGTCCCATCGGTCTATTTGGGATTCTCAAGATGGGTGATCATGGCCTGCAAACAACACTGTGCTTGTGCTAGAGATAGGCTTAAAAAACACCTGCAATACCCTTATATGACTCAATTCCTCCAAAATTCACTTTACCCCTTTTTGCCTTAGTTCTGTTCTCTGCAGATCTCTCCGTTTCTAAGTCCATAAATACTCCTCTTGGAATGTATAATGCATTTTCTCTGACTGTATATTGCCTCGATCTTGACAGCTTGAGGCAGATAGGCTGGAATCAGGTAAACCAGGTTCCATTTAGGGCAGCCTCCACCACATACACACATGCTTAGTGGCTAAAGTAGTAGGTCTTTTCCTACTCTTTTTTTTTAAGGGAAAAGGTACCTTGATGTTGGACAGGTCAAAACCCATCACCTCCAATGGGCTTTGCACATTAAAGCTTGCCCACTCCTCCCATCCCCTCCCTTGTTGCAGTGATGGAGGTACAGCCCACCTCACCAGCTAGAGAGTTATTTCAGTGTATATAAAGAACAGTACCACCATGCAGAGCACTGCCTTATTTTATGCAGAATATGGGGAAACAGTTGTGCAAACCTGTTGTACATATGGAAAATATCATCCCCAAACCTTGGCTAGCTTCACTGGAACACAAAAAGGCTCATTGCCTCTCAAAGGACTATTTTCCTGAGTGTTTCAGTCTTTTCTTGCTCCCACTCCTTTCAGCACTGAAGCTGTTCAAAACAATCTATCACTTTCTTCTTTTTTCTCTTCAGATGAAGGGAGAATATTTTCCCTGTCTACAAGAATAGCTGCACTTTGTTACTTACACATTTAAATGGAATTAATCCAGGGCAGAAACCTGGTCTGGAAATCTTCAGCTCAAAGGCTTAAAGTTTCAGCAGGCAATTAGCATTAGAAAATACAGCCATTAAACAAGAACAGCTCAATTGTGATATTCCAAATATACATCTCAAGAATGAAGAACAAGGGGCAGAAGTACTCTTCTCCAGGTTGAGCATAGATGCCTATCCCAGTGGAGAACTGGGGGAAAAGGAAGCCTCTAGTGAATAGTGCCACTTCAGTATGAGTCTGAGCCTAGCTAAGGACTGCACCTGCAATAGCTCTGGCAACCCTTATTTGGTGGATCTCAAGTACTTTTACACCCTTTCATTTCTATCACTGAACCACTTGCCCTCTTCAGCATACTTAGCATATCTGAAGTAGAAAGTGCCGGTTTTTTTTCCTGCTTACAGATAGGCGCCTTCAGACATATTCTGGTTCCTAATTCAAAGGAGAGTCAAGAACTCAAGTGCACATAAAGGTTTGGGACTAACCACCCTTCAAAGGCTGTGTCCCTATTCTGTGCCTGCAAATTATGGTGGGTTTCCTGAGCCCTGGGCTTGTGCTTTGACACCTGGAGATGCTTTCTTCTGTTAAAACAGCTACTCCTGAATTCAATGTACTTTCTTGCTGACAAAGGAAGTGGGACCACCACACTGAAACCATGGACAGACAGGAGCAGGGCATCCCTCCACTGCTGGTTTCTGCCTTTGGCACTTTGGCCACGACCTCACATCAACTCCTCTCCCACTGCAACACTAAATCTCCCTGGGCAATAGGCCAAGGGTAAGGACTTGGCCATGCACCCTACCCTCAGTGACCCCTGATGGCAGGTGCCATTGTTCTTGCTTGAGCATACCTTCACACCACATGGAAAGCTAGGCACAGCCTCCTTAAACATCCTTCTTTCTCCCTGTGAGCTCCAAGAACAGTGGGAAGAGCCGCACTCCACAGAGAGATACTTCCTCTCCCCTCGGACTTCTACAACGTTATGGAATGTCTTAAGCAACCACAGTTAGACCCAACAGCAGCAGGTTTCCAGATAATTTGTTCAGGTGTTTTGGAGCTGAGCTCTTTGTAAATCTTCTTGAAGCTCCACGGGTTTATTCCTAATGTTGGTTCCTGAGAATCACACCTTCAACCTCCAAAGTATCAAATGTGTCTTTTGTTAGAGGATTAAACTACTGCTTAGATTCATTAGTAAGGGTAATTTTGGCCTAATTACTCTTCTAATTTCTGTGTTATCCCTTGTAAGAATATGCCCTCAGAAATTAGTAAAATGGTTTATAATATATGCTAATCACCATAATCTGATTTGTCTTTAATTATACATGTAATAAAGAAACTAATTGGAAGATGGAGGTATTCGGAAGGGCCAAACCATGTAAATCAGGGTAAGCATAGAATATTATCATTAAACAACAAAATAATGATGCTTTTGAGTATATGGAAGGATACTTGTTTCCTATAGTAGAAATAGCAAATTGCTTCACTTCTTTTAGAGCTGCTTATTGTAGCAAAATTGATTCATAAATCTAGCAACAACTGAGGTTTTGGCCTTAAAACGTCTGCCTAGACTGAAATGGAACACCTAATATGAGGACAAAAATATGGGAAGCTTATTTGCAGAATAGAAGGCAACGTATAAATAAAGCTGCAAATGATAAAAGTGGTTTCCAACTGAAATTTTATTAGCTTCAAAATATCCTGCTTGCAGAAATCATGTCACTGAAGTCTCCTGAAGTTTCCTCTGTGTTTAAAAAACAGATTGGGCTGGTGGATCTTTCAGCAGCTTTGCAGTATTTTTTCCCTTCCCATGGATTTAATGGACAATAACAGAAAAAACAGCAATTTCCTGAGCATTTATTATTTCTGTTCTTGAAAAGTACATTTTTTATGAAGTACTGTCAAATTCTACCCATGCTTTAAACGTTGCAGTGTAATGTGACTGCAAAGAGCAACAAGGGAGGGAGGAAAGAAATTACAGCTCTTCTAGAAAGCTGTCAGAAGGGAGTAATTTAAAAATATCTTATTACACAAAAGGACATAAACTAGCAAAAAATGAAGATACTATAGTTATCCATGGGGGCTTTTTGCATAAATATTTGAAAGGATAAGCATTTTCTGGATTGCTTGCTTTCTGGCTATAGATGTATTCAGATGTAGATTCGGCATTTGTCTGGGTGAAAACCAGTGTTTTGTTTCATTGTGGGGTTTATTATGGGGTTTTGGTTGGGTGGGGGTTTTTTCCTATTATTAGACTACAGCTGATCAAATAGCAATATGTAATTGCACCTTGACCTCTCCAGTTGAATAAGTACCTCACTGAATGCTTGTCCTCAGTGGCAGAGTCTAGTAACAGGCTGCAGTGCAAATGGAATGCTGATGCACATGCTCTGCCCCTCTCAGCTTAACATTTGCCAGGGCTTGTCTGACAATCCTACTTGTGCTGTCTTTACTTTGTGCCTGACCCAGGAATTCCATCTATAATGGATTTTCCAAGGTCAGGTTGGAGAGGGCTTTGGACAACCTGGCCTAGTGGAAGGTGTCCCATCAGGGGGTTAGAACTAGGTGATCTTTAAGGTCACTTCCAACCCAAACCATTCTGTGATTCCATGATTCTTTGATTCTATTGAAAAAGACAAGTTGCTAACATTTACACCAGTATTCAAACGTTAAGGTGGTCTGGTACCATGGGTAAACTACACATCTTTGATCAAGTCTGTGGAGGGCACCTACACCAGATTTTCAGGTATTTTAGGAAACTTGAGTTATAATTTAACAAAATGTTCGAGTGAACAGTGGAATCTGGAATGTCTCTCTGGGCAGAAGTTTTCAGAAACCAAGAGAGGCACCCTGGCTCTTCAGCTCTACCCCACACACCAGCTTGTGTAACTTAACACAGAGGGAGAACTGCTGTCCCCAGGAAAAGCACACTGTCCTCTCTTGGTACAGCATGCTGCTAAACATGGTTACATTTTCATTCATAGAAAAATCCCATCATCCCATCAATCCCATAGACACCTCCCATCAATGTGTCAGTGCTTGCGTACAAGCCATTTTCTTCCCGCAAAAGTTCTCAAGGAAGCTTCATTGAATAACAATCTGCAGCTTATTATTCAGCAAAAATACAACAGAATCTGCTGTTGTTCAGCATTCCAAATCAGAGTACAATTATAAGAAAGAGACTCAAACATTTAAAATATCTCTTCTGTACCTTCACTCTGACATATTGGTGGATAGAGTGATGGCAGCACCAAAGCCAGGAGATGGACTGGACAGTAAAACTCCCTTACCTACATGATCAGCAAGAACAATGTGTGGTATAAAAAATCTCTCATTTACACTCTCCTTTGGCATTTAAACACAAAAAGATAACAGCTGATATTTTTATGGTGAAATTAGAAGGCTTGTACTGAAGGCCATTATAGAACTTCAGAGTTAGTTGCACTGCTTTCTGTGGCTTTATGTCAGCAATGTATTTGACCTGATGAATATCATGAGCATCTCCCAATTTAGGCAGTATAAGGACATCTTCTAATTTAGGCAACTTAAAACATCAACAGTTATAGTTTTTAAATGGCTTATGTGTATGTGAGGGGAGATCCCAGCCTTTCAGCAACTGACAGCCGGGATCTCAGCACAGCCAGGACTGGGATGCCATAATGTCTGCTAATCTTCTTAAGAGAACTAACCACGCAGCAGGATGTGCCTTAAAGCTTGTTCTTAATTTTTTAATATATTTTATTAAATAGGGAATTAGGGAATCAGAGCACATTCATACATTTGTTACTCCTCTGTCAATAGGACAAAACCAGGCCAGCTACGCAGAATAAATTAAACATAAGCCAGCTGAAATATTAATTTAAAGTAACGCTCTGTATAGACACAGATCTTTCATGACAACAAAATATTCATGAGATTTTTCTAACTGTCAGTGAATTTGCAATATTTCCTGATAATCTGAAGAATGAACTTTCCCATAAGGTATCACAAATTGCATTTTTGCAAACCATCCACCAGTTTGGTTGGGTAACTGAAATCATTTGGTATTAATTACTGCTAGTGGAACTTTATATGGCAACAAACTTCAGAAAAAGGACTTCTACCTTTTAAAATGGCTCACAATAATGAAACAGTATTGTTACAATTGGGAAGCTTTCAGAATAGGCTTACAAATAGCTGGTAACTTTTGGTAACTTTCCGAATACTTACAGCCACTGAACAACATAGAATCATAGAATGGTTAGGATTGGAAAAGACCATAAGACATCTAGTTACAACCCCCCTGCCATAGGCAGGGACACCTCACACTAGACCATGAGCAGCAGCACCCAAGCATGAAGAGGTGGGGTTCTTTTCAACAGTATATCACTTCATTTAGCATGCCCCAACACAAAGAGAAAATCTCAGTAGGTCAGTGCAAGTCTCCACAGACCACAGTGGGTCTTCAAACAAGCCTTTATGTGGGAACAGGTTTGTGCCGATACAATCTGTCTACAAATGTAGCCACAAGCTAGAAGACAACTTCTGTACTATTTAAAGAAGTGTCAAATGGGAAAGGTAATCACCCATCCCTTATGGGCTTCATTTGACCTTCATCTAACATTTTTCCATGGATGTATCACTGAGCAAGCCCAAATGTGGCCACACACCATCAATTATGAAAACACCCATAGAAAAGATACAGTGTGGTGAAGAACGATATGAACAAATCTGGATGACATTTAACATAACAGTTAATGGTCATATTGTTCTTGGGGTTTATTGAAAATTACCAGGCAGGCTCTGGAAAATATGTGCTGTTGGGAATCTGTTCAGAGTTTTTATCAAAGCTTCCTTGCAATTAGTGGCAAATTACTGTTCGTTCCTCTGGAATTCCTTGAAATAAGATCACCCTGATTTCAGCCCGATACTATTCATGGCCTCACAATCTGCAGCTATATGGGAAACATATTCTAATAATAAATGCAATAGCACGTATTTGTGTGGCAAGCAGCAGTGATAAAACATTAGCGCCATTCCATAGCATTTTCACCATCAAGGGGCTTAACTTGCTAACTTTAATCTTTACAGCTCTCTGTAAGGTGTGTGATAGGTTTATCTCAGTAAATGCAGTGATAGGAGTGGCTAATCTCTGCATCCCAAGGCTGGAAGGTCACACCTTGATAAACCCAGTGCTGGCATGGCAAGGTCCTGCAGCTCACTCTGTCATCTCAGACATAGGCTCAGCCAATGGAGGTGCTGTTCAAATATGCTGTTTTTTCTTGTTCAAGTACTTCACAGCCCTGTGAGTTAATTATTACCCCATTTTTCCTGGCCAGAGTGAAGGCACACATATGGGAGTTGCTTGCCTGAGGCCAGGGTGCTGGAGCTGAACCAGGAGCCAGGAGTTTAAGGAGACTGTTGGCCTCGTTCTCCCAGCACTTGCAAACATCTCAGCTTCTGGACTGCTTTTCCATTGCACCTCAGAAAGGAATCTTTCACTTTCCAAGACTGATTTCTCCGTGGGGGTCACCTGAAGTCCCAGGTGGGACTGGAGGTAGAGCGTCTGGCTGGTGCAGCTTGGGCAGGCTACAGAGGGTGAAGGTCCTCACTGGAGATGTGGTGGAGGGGGGCTCCTTGCTCTTTCCTTCCCACCACAGCTGCTGTCAAGGATGATAGGTAAAAGTGTGAAGGAAGGAGAGCACTGACCAGCCTTTTATCCTAAGGGAAGGTTTCCATCTGCATGTCATCATGAGCTGTGCCACTCTTCTTTCCAAGGGGACAGCACAAAGTCACTTCAGGGTGAGAGGCAATTAGAATTAAATGTTCCTTTATTGCAGAGCTGCACAAAGTCTTCATGCAGCAACATCTACCTCATCTACAAGCATGGTGCTGATGGGCCATAAGGGTTCACTAATGGAAAAATAGTTTATTAGTAGCTACATCATTGAGAAAAAGGTGGCACTAGAAGTATTACAAATAGCTGCTTGTTGTTTTTATTTCAAAGCCACGAGGTATGAGGCAAAGAGGATTAACCATGAGGGAAATAGTGGGAGTGGTGTCACTGCCTTCATGCTTGTTCTGAACAGCAGGAACAATGGGAAAGCATTGTTAATTTAAACCAAAAAATATTTTCAAGTAATTTATGCAGCAAAAAAGCCTCTGACTTTTGCAACAGCCAGAGTGAAGGCGTGCAATTATTTTAAAGGCATAGATGTTACTAACAGTTCCTTTGAGTGAATAGGATGTATAATGTTTCTTTTCCTCAAATAACAAAAAAATGGTATTAATTTGATTAACGACGAACTCTCAGAAATTAAAAATGCAGCATGGAAATCTTGATCAGCACTCATTGCTACCCAAAGTTAATGATTGTTAATGATTAATTAACAATTGCTCAAATGAGTTCCTGCAGCAATTGGATGAAATTAGATAGGAAATTACTGTGCCGTGCTGCACTAGGCAAATGATTCCCCCAGTGTGTATTTATAGATGTAAATTGCACAAAGCAAGCAGCAGAACAATTATCAAAACTAATCACTCCTGGAACTTGGAATATTGTTTACCTTTTATCTGGGGCTGTGAAATGGACAGATAATGCCCATTAAAAGGTGTATCACCAGTGACTGTTGCTCACCAAGACTGCCAGCCTTGCAAAAACAACATATGCTTCCCGTGCTCCCCCATAACCTTCTCGTTTGGAGACTCTGTTTTCTTCAGTGATCACTGTCAGGGATTGTAATGACAGCTTTGTTTCTCTTCAAGGGCTTTATCCAGCAGAGAAATGCAGACAGGCAACTTCATGTGCAGCTGTGTGACCGCTGGTTTCAAGGAGCACTGCAGATGTATTTGCATTTATGCCACTGCAGGATCAGTTCATGGTCGTTTATTTTACTTAGGTGTGCTTGCAACAAAGCAAGGATGGAAAGTGTTTTATTTTATGTGGAAAAGAAAATGGGAGGAGAAGAGGAAAAATGATGCAGTCATCAGAAAATTATTTGAAACAATAACAAAGTGTTAATAGTCTAATGAAGAGGAGAGATGGAACACAAACCTACAAAGCTTGTTGTATGGTTGTATTTTGTTTAATAAGAGAATATATTTTTAAGTGAATGGATGACTCAAATGGAAAAATATGTTCTAAGCATTTATCGTCTGTGGGAGAGTATTGTTACAACATGCATAATGTGGTTTCGGAGAGACCAGTTTGGCTTTGTAATAAAGATGTGGGCTTCAGTAGTAAGAAAAGTCTATGCTACTCTAAAAATCTGTCAAGGTTGCAGAAATAAAACTTTCTTTAATGGAAAAATGTAGCATCATTATTCCCAAGCTGTTATTACAACTTGGTCTTGTCATGCAGAGAAATCCACAGTTAGCTATCCATGCTACTGAGTCATTTGATAGTCTCCTTGAAAGATAGCATCCCATCCATTTTATAACATTATAGTAACACAGCTACAGTGTAATCATCTTCCCTTTCATGATATATGAGGCTCATAACATGGCAGTGGGGAAAATGTCCACATCCTAAAACTTTCATTGCTACTACTGGGCTATAAACCCCTTACCTACATCTGCTGTTGTACTTACTTTCCCTTCCCTCCTGCATTCATTTATTCAACATGGAGATCTACTGGCACATGAGCTTCTTATTCAAGTTTCCAAAGGCAAAAGCTTGCTCCATGGATGCAAAGGAAGCCCAAGTTCATTGTTTCCTCCAAAACCAGTTCTGTCAATGATTGCATCTGATGGGAACACATGGAACAGTATTTATTCACTGCAAGGTGTTTGTACACAGCATGTGGGGAAGGTACGTGTGATCCTGGGCATTTATCAGCATATTAATGTGAGATAGCCTCTGGTGCTTTAGGCTGAGGTGACTTGCTGAAATAGGTAGCAGAGGCACAAATAGGATCTGGCTTCTCCATAACTCAGAACCGAACCCAGAGGAGTACTGAACTGAAAATGAATGTACCACATAAATTTTTTAGTAGCTTTCCCTAAGAAAAAAATTGTAAGAGGATTGCATTTATCACTTTGATTGCATATTTGTTTAAAACATTGCAAGTGAAGTGATTTGTCACAGCACAAGAAGAGTTATTGCTTGCACAGCATAACCTGGGCTACACTACTACCTGGAAAGAGATAATTTTACAGTGCTTGCAATTAAACCCAGTTACAAGTACTTAGAGAGATAGATATATTTAAAACAAATAGGTAAGCTGGGAAAAAGAAGTAAAAAAAGAGAGAAGGGATCTGTTACTGAAAAGCAGCCATTACCACATCCGTAATTCCTGCATTTCAGGCCTACCAGAGCCCAGGACAAGAGAAAATAACTTGTTTAATTCATTAAGAAACAAAGCAAAGATGAAGCATCATTTCTGCTCTTTGATCTTAACTTCCTGAGGAGTAATGTTTATAGTCAGAACAAAGATGAAAATGTCCATATGCCTCTCATCCAATCTAAAAGATGAAATACATATAATTTCTCCACAAAATAAAATTCTAAAAAATCTTCAAGTAGGTGAATGAAGCCATCACCAGGTACTGTAGGACACTAGATGTAGTCCTTCAACATTACTTTGTTAAGAGACATAGAGAATGCACACTTGCAATTTGCTCTGACTTTGGCCCAGGCTTTAGCTTTGTTCAATAAACATCACTGACCACACCACTTTATATATATATATATATATATACACACACATATATATCTATAACCAAAAAGATGACCTATTTAATGTGTATTTTTGTAAGTAATATTCAGCAAAAAGATATGAAACTGAAAACTTTAGAGCACTAGCAGACACACCAAAAGAGAAAATGAACCTTTTAGTAATACTTACACTAGTGACTTGCATCAGCAATCCTGATGCAGACTGAAGTGAAGTCTCAGCAGCCAGTTCTAACACATGCTGCATACAGTTTGGAAAGATCAATATTTTGACATCTTTATTTTAGCTAAACCTCAAATCAAGACCAAATTCCTATCACAGAAAGTTTTTCTACACCACAGAGTGCTCCCCAGCTGATGCCGTTTGCCCCTGCTTACAGTAATTCAGAGCTCCCTTTATGGCAGAAGTTTGTGAAGATGTATTGAAAATAAAAGACACACAGGTTCCAGTTTCCTCTTTGGTATCATTCTAGGCCTGGGGAAATTCAAGTCAGATATAAAACTTTTCTCCTACAGACAGGAGAAATCCCAGTTCCACTAAAGAAAGCTGCACACAAGACCGGAAATATTGGACAGCTGCACCAGATCTGGCATGTAACAGAAGTGTGCGAACTGAGAAGCGTCCCTAATGATGAAGTTTAAGGAAATGGCCTTAATTGGTCCCTTTGAAAATGCTGAAGAATTGAGTAAAACTGATGAACCAACAAGGACCATGGAAACAAGCCACTACAGCCACTCAGCCAAAACCAAGCAAAGCAAATTGCTTTTTAAAATATGCTTCCTCACTACAAGTCATCAAATACTGATGCTCTGATTCTGTGTATACATCACCCAGTACAGACTAACCCTCTGATATTAACAGCCTGTTTGAGCAGATAGCAGTATAAGGACTTCAGGATCTGGCCAGGATAGTATACGCACATGCCTTTCAAACCCTCATTGAAATGCTGCTCACTAGCCTGCCATCATGAGCTAACTGCTGCGCTCTGTATGATCTCACTTCTTCCCTGTCCTGTCACTTCACTTGAATTACGAACAAACTTAATAACATCTCTGAGATTTCAAAGCCTTTACTCCAGGATCAAGAGGCTACATATGAGGATGGTGGAGTATGTCCTCCCTTTCAGGCCCTGCAAAAAAAAGTGGTGGTGGTGGGAGCAGCTAGGAGCCCTGTGCTCCTAACAGAGAACAGGGATGCAGGGATACTGCAGGTACCTGTGCCACAGCACTATCTACATCAGATACTTCAGCTGAGATTTCAGGAGATCCAGATGCCTCAAGCAGCCACTGATGAAGGACTACATAGCTCAGCCCTACATTTTAAGCAACACTGAGAGCTGACATTTAGCATCTAAGTTGTACAGACTGGGCACACATTGGATAAAAACTTGCCTTTTGCTGAAACGTATTTTCATCCACAGCAGAAATTTGGAGCTCACTCTCTCTCTCATCCCTCTGTAAATCATTTAAACTTTTGTTTTAAGAGCACCTGTAGCACAGGGCACCAGCAACACCCACTTGCTGCTTGTCTGAGGGCTGGAGTGGGCCCATATGCTGCTGGAGTGACATTTCCAAACAAACGCTGTCAAACTGTCATAAATATTTCCAACATCAGGTCTCTGTGTTCAGACTCTTCAAACACATGCTAACACAAGCCAGAATGATACTCAGCGAGGCTCCCCTGGGGCTTAAAGTATATTTGCGGGTTTGAGTTTGCTGAGTTGGGCCTTTTGCAACGTAACTTTGTACTCCAGATGAATGAGGAGCTGTATCCTGGAAAACTGGAGTCCTGGAGACATTTTCATTGATTGCTGTTTTAAAAAGTGCTTTAGAAAATATGGAAGTGCTTCAGTTCAAAAGGCTGAGGAGTACAATGTATTTTATGAGCTTCAAGTGCATAAATGTTCTAAGTCTACTACCTCTGCTGAACTGTCTGGAACACATGTTGTGGAGAGTACAGAAAGGCAGCACAGCATCATTTCTATGTGGCGTGGTTTAAGCCCAGCCAGCAACCCAGAACCACGCAGCTGCTCGTTCACTCTCCCTCTTCCTCCCCCCACTCCTGGAGGGATGGAGAGGAGAATCAAAAGAATGTAACTCCCACAGGTTGAGATAAGAACAGTCCCATAACTAAGGTATAACACAAACCACTGCTGCTGCCACCAATAATAATAATGGTAAGGGAAATAACAAGGGGAGAGAATACAACCGCTCACCACCTGTCAACCGATACCCAGCCCGACCCTGGCAGTGATCTAACCCTTCCAGGTAACTGCCCCCAGTTTATACAATGGGCATGATGTACTGTGGTATGGAATACCTCTTTGGCTGATTTGGGTCAGGTGCCCTGTCTCTGCTTCCTCCCGGCTTCCCCTCCTCCCTGGCAGAACATGAGACTCAGAAAGTCCTTGGTCAAAGTAAACATTACTGAGCAACAACTAAAAACATCAGTGTTATCAGCGCTGTTCCCAGGCTGAAAGTCAAAACCACAGCACTGCACCAGCTACTAAGAAGGAGAAAAATGACTGCTACTGCTGAACCCAGGACACTATGCTGTACATCCAAACGGGTGATCATGTCTTCTGTGGAGGGTCAAATCCTCACTCAGCTCCGAGACCTGAGCCATGTGTCTGAGCAGGGCTGGCAAAATCAGTTCCTGAGGTCACTGGCCTGTTCTGCAAAGCTACTAAGGGGAACCTACTTAAGAGTCATTCAAGCTGATGGGATTTCAGGTGTATCATAAGGGTTCATTTTACTGAACTAAAACCATTTTTGGGAACTCCTTTGACAAAAAGACTTTAAATATGAAGCCCAAATCCAGCCAATTGCTCCAGACTGTAAGTCAGTGCAGTCCACTGACCTCCTGAGCCACACAGAGTCTGTCCCAGCTGTGTAACAGGATGAAAGCTTCTGCTGGGATCAAGCCCGCAGACCTGGGACCAGTATGGATGCCTGGGTCCCTACAGCTCAGCAGTTAGGCTGTATATATGATGGACACAGGTGCCTCAGTAAACACAGAGCAGGCGGAGCCCAGCTTAGCTTAGAGGCTCAAGGGGTTGCTATAGAGAGGTAGAGACCAGGAGGCAAAAGCAGTCTTCAGCCCAGCCCCTTGGGACCCTGGCTGTGCTCTGGCCTCAGAGGCATCCCGTCCTCTGCACCCAGCACATGTTTTCGAAAACAGAACAGCCTGCTTGTCTTCCAAAACCACATCTGGAAGAGATGGATGGGTAGCAATTGGGATAGTAACTGGTCAGAGCCCTTGCTCAGAACTCCTAGGGCAAAAAATCCCTCTTCTCGGGTCAGTACCCAAGGAAATGGTCTGAGGCACTCCTGGTCCTGCACAGCAAGTTCATGGAGAAGAATGGATGGAGGAATAGGGAGAAACTGTGTGTTTGTACTGCTTCAGGGCCAGACACCTCTGATGGTCAAGTCCTGGACT